AAGTAGGTTGATTGGCTTTGTTCATCTTGTATTTCATGGTCATTGTGTTGCTATCTATGGTAAAACGTTGACCAATACTGCTGGGGTTCGATCTAATAAAACTTTTACAAGTGTGATTTACAAGCGGAGCTATTTTTATAAAGCTTTAAAAACCATGCTTACACTTAAATTACACTCGTGAAGTTTTTGTTAAATCTAGCCTTGATCTTTAATAACATTCCATGCTTGTAGATCCCTAATGCGAGGCAATGAGGAGTAGCTAGTAGCACCGCTATTGATAGTGATGGCGTATTCTAATCCACCTTACCGGTACTCATTGTTGGATTTTTCTGTTACCACGCTTAGAAAAGAAGCAATGGATTTTCATTTTCAAGCAAATATATCTGATAAACAGTCAAGGATGAAAATCCAACTGTTTCAGCACTGCTTTGGCGATCTTTATTTCATCTCCCTACTCATGGTGGGATTTTCTGGTTCTCCATTTCATACAAAGGACGGAATATAGGTGGTTTAAAAAAAAAAACAAACGTAGGTTACTTTTTAAGAATTAAAAAAGTATCAAGTTAATACTAATATTAATGGAGAGCTTACTTCCAAAGGTTTCTTGGAAATATGAAAACGTGGTATTTCGAGTATACATGTATAACAATCGTAATCCATTTTGTTATTTGTGGTCAATTACTGTGTTTTTAGAGTTCCTGTTGCGGGTATCGAGGCCTTTGAAAGAGTGAAAGGAAACTGGATTTGTCTGAAAAAAACTTCCGACAACTTTTTCTCAAACGAAGGAGAAGGAGCTATTTCCTTCCCGCTCAAGATTCGTCTTACAAGTATCATGAATGAGCAACTACAAGCCACTATCGACACTTTGAAAAATGATGTCGCTATCAAATCGGACCTACAATTCTCGGACACCGTGGGTTTGAGAGGTGAGAAGCAGAAATGACGGTAAAAGCACTGGGTTTGTCTTAGTCTCAATCACACATCGTTTTGTTTAGTTTCATTGCCACTTAGTAAGGGATTCCTTTTTTTCCCTGGCTAGACGGCTTTTTGACACTTAAATAAAGTTTCTATCTATCTATCTATTAGATACATTTGATCAAGTATGCTAATAAGTTAAAGGTATACTAAACCATCAATTTTACGACTTTACAATATTATAATTGTAAATGATTTGAACCCCGAAATCATTTAATAAGTAAGCGTTTCCTGGCCTCTCATAAATTATGACCGAATTGTTTTTTTTTTATATTTTTTTGCTTAAAACTGTTTGATGAAAAAAATGAAAAAGGAAATTTTCCGCTTTATGGGATGCGATAGCATTTGTTCCTTTGCCAGCTAATGGCTTGCGCTTTTTTACCACACAGGTGATTAGTTCATCACAATTCAATTAATTCTACTTATAAGTCTGAAGTCGGGCTGTACACCATTTTCGGTGTACATCAACCTACCAAAATATTATTTTGGTAGGTTAATATCAGTCAACGTGAGAAAAAAAATTATTTAATGCTGGTATACATTTTTCCACAGGAGGATCTCCAGAGAAAATAAAGTGTTATGGTCAAGGCAACAGACCATCGTCTGATAAAGGTGCGAAATGACTTTCACACTATAACGGAAAGCTTTTGCACCAGCACGAAAATGAAAATACGGGACAGGCCTTGTGCTAACACATAAAAAGGCTGATCTCGGAAGAATTTAGGTAACGGAGCAAAGCTGCGCCGCGCCGATCTCTAAAAAGGAGAGTCAGGTATCGGATCTAGGTGTTTATACTATATCGCGGATAGCTTTTCTGGTCGGCAGCAGATATAGTGTAAAATAGCCTTAGTCAGTAGCTTATCATTCAAGGAAATGATTTATGTTTCTGTCCATTCAGACCTTTCTAATCTGAACTCATTTTATTTGCAGAAGTTTGCTGTTTGATGAATTCAAAAAAAACGAAAATTTTCAACGAGACATATTTGAGCAATGTTTTACAGTGTTCTGGCCAAACTAAGGCAATTTGGATGTTTGGAGTAGTAGTTGTCCCTTTCGTAAACGATCGCTGCCATTTTTAAGACACTTAGAAAATTTTTGACCTGTTATGAAAGTGTTTCTATGAAAAAGAAAGAAAATCGCAACCCAGGGTCGAACCTGGAGCTCGAACCCGGACCTTTCGTATCCCACCCTCTCTCACTTGCCACTGAACAACCACACAAACCCGTCAAAATTCCAAACAAATTCAGTACATACACTTGCAAACTGTCTTTCTTAACTGTTACATCAATAACAGGTGACCCCAACCTCGTTCCAAGGGTTCTCTCCTACCCACCCTACGGAGCTCTCTCTCTCGCTCCGTAGGGCGGGTAGGAGAGAACCATGGGAACGAGGTTGAGGTAACCCTAACCCTTTCCAAAATTTTTAACGTAAATTCGACTTGGGCTTCAACTTCGTTCTTTCTAAGCCTATTCAAAAACGTATCATTTGCCTTATTGTAACTTAATCCAGGGAATACATTACATCCATCATGACTAAAGGCTTGGTTACCAAAGGTGGCATCGACCGTAAAAAATGGCAACGACCGTTTACGAAATGGAAATAGGCCTCGGAGTATATATAGCGACCCCCGCTGTACTTTTAGAACAAGCAAATTTACTGAGGGAGGAGCTTTCAAGAGCCGAACACGAGTTTTTGTTACGCTTTATTTTCCCATAAAAACACTTTGCTTCGTTTTTCCTCTTATTTTTAGTATATATTAATATGTTACCAATTTATATTTCGTCAAGCGGAAACGTTCTTTAATCTTGATTCGGCGGCTGAACTCACCTAGTTTCTTACTAACTGTAAACAACGCATAATGGTTAGAGCAATAAATCACCGCATAACATGTTACAAGAGAATCGTAACAGTGTTGCGAATAGTCTCTCGCCATCTTACATGCGTCTATTTTTTTTGTTACTTTCATAACTGAAATAGTATGCAAGTGATTATTGTTAGCAGATAGTTTTGGATGTTTTAACAGGTCATGTGCCATTTTGCGTTTCCAAAGAAGATGGAATTTATGCGGACCCAATTGACCAGGCGGCGTTTTACATGTGCGAAGGCAAGAAGACAACCAAAAAGTTGTGTCCATGGGGCCTGGTGTTTAACCCGATGATCTCGGTTTGTGATTACCCTGAAAATATGAAATTTGTTTGGTTTGATCCTGAGGCGGGTACTGGTAGAAAAAGTAAGTCCAAAAAGATTACTAGGGGCAAGTCTTTACCAGGTAACGCTGGCAAGTCTATTGGGGGACTGGAAGAGAATGAGAAGCATAAAGATAGAGCGTCTGCTCTAAACAAACAGAAACCCCATAAAGTATTCTCTATCAACATTTTCAAAGGCGATCATGCAGCACCAAAAATTGACACAGAAAATGAAACAGTGGATCAGGATAAAGAACAGAGTGACGCTAAAAAACCACATCCTTCAGCCGCAAAAGAACTCTTTCGGGTTCATACGCAGAACACAGCAAATCATTCTATGCTTCAAAATAAGTCAAGCAGTACTCCGGAGAACATGAACCAAACCTTAAAGGATATTTTGCAATTTTCTGACGAAAAGCTACGAAAGGAAACTACATCAAATTCTCTTCCCCAAAGATTTTTGAGTTCCGGTAAAAGCTCAAGTTTCTCCCCTCGCAAGATGTTCGCGATAAATCTTTTCGGGTTGAAATCAAAAGATATGCTAAGTGACATGCAAGTTACAAACGAAAGCGCAGGACTTATGGAGCAACCAGGTGAATTATCAAGACAGTTCGCAGACGAACAAGTTTTCGCTCACAAAGTCCCCGAGTCGCCTCTCTACACTCAAAATAATGATACAAATGTTTCAAATATTTCTGAGATCACTTCCGAAAAAGTTCAGCATCATCATCAGCTTACTAAACAGCTTGAAGATCTTGGGAACAAGCGACCTGAAAATAAGTTGCCAGCAGCAGCTGACGCTATGCCTTCCCCCCTGCATTTAAAACTCAAGGTTCAAATGGATCACAGTGGACAACAACCCGCCCTAAACTGTACCCTATCAGAGTGCTCTGAAATGCAAAATGGCTTACCAACGCCTTCAAAATCCATTGCAGACTCTATTAACAATTATAGCTCACAGGGAAATAAGACCGATGGGGAATTTCACATCGTCTTAAACGCAGCAGGATCAGATACATTAAACGGTTCTATAACTACGGGCGTGAACATCAAAGTTGCGGATTTGCAAGAAGTACTTCCCTTGATGACGCAGGGAGACCACTATCTAGAAGACACCTCTCAACCTCAAATGTTGAACAAAACGCTAACGAAGTTTACCCAAGACTTCAGGGATAACACAACATCAAAACTATTTACAGCTGCAAGCCAAGACAAAAATGATTTTAAAGTAGGAAACAGTGAAGTAGAACAAGCAGTGATTCAGAGGGAAAATTATACTACCAGCAACAAAATACTTCCACAAAATTCTTCGACTTCTGAGCATTTTAATCAAGGCAATGATTTTCCAGTGTCACTGATCCCTTTGGGCCGAAAGTATGAAGGCAGTATGTTGCAAAACACGCATCCCATTCCGGAGAAGGAAAGTGTTGCCGCTCTAGATCGACTCCATGTCAATGAAGTTAACCGAGGGGAAAGTAATGAGACTTTTGATCATAGACTTAAAAATACCTCACGCCAAGATTCCTCGTCCAACAACAATGAACCTCAGAGATACGCACAGCAAAACAACCAAAGCTTTTTACAAGCTCAAAGGACACCTCCAGTAAATCAACCACAGCTGAAAATTATACTGAAAAATCCTGGAAAACTCGGTTTGTTGTTTAAAACTGATAGCGCTCAATTAAAAAAGAGGTCTAGTGCAAGGAGCCATACTATGCAAATTCTTAAAAGCCTGATGAAGAAAACGCTCAGTTTGGGAGCAAGAAAAGCGCATGAAGGTTTAAAGTTGTCAAATGCAGTTAAAAAATCAATGAGCGGTAAAGTACCTGAATCAGTTGATGACTTGGAACGCATCAAAGACAGTGGCAGTATTGCACAGAGCATCTTAGAAGCTAACAAAGAGTACCTTGATGATGTTGCTATGCAGGGAATGATTTTCAGTGACGGAGATCCTGATACTGAAAATATGGCTGAAATTGCAGATTCTATCAAACAAGGCCATAATTTCTTAGAGCATACTTCTGAGTTTTCGCAGTGGGGAGACAAAAATGGCCTGCAAGACGTTTCAAGTTCAGATGAGACCGCTGACAAACAAGATGAAAAGAATAAGGCGGATCTTATGCAGCAAGATAAAACTGAGGAAGGTGAGGTTATACATTTGTTTTCCTTCTTCATTTTTTTGTCTCTAAACATAGTAAACGTGAATACATATGATCTTCAGGATGATTGAGTGTTGTTTTTTGTTGTATTCATTTCTTAGTTTGCCGTAATCAGGTTTTGTTCTACTTTATAAGTTTGTTCTCATTTCTCCCCCGCCTTGATTAGCCTTTTATGCTGTCAGCGGTGGGAAAGTTTCTGATTTCTTATACCTGTAACTTACTAGCTGAGTTTGTCACTTACTTTGTGTATGAACTATGTGGAATATATAATTGTTGTTGTTGTTGAGAGTTAAGGAAGTCAGTGAGAGACTGAATAGGACGGTTCTCGACAGTGACTGACGTTTCTACTGACCTGATTGTGGTATACGGTCATCTTCAAAATCAACGTAAGTTATAACTCATCCGTTGATGGTGTTATCCCTGGTTATTAACATGATTGCCAGACACTTGAAGTCACAATAATATTCGTCGTCTGTTAGTTAATTCTTGATGTTATTGGTTTTTGAAAACTCTACATGTGAGTAGCACTGATCATAATTTTGATGTATCTTTTATCATGGTAACCTAGGTTATCGCCACTTAGTTGACCATAAGGCCAACATTGCAGGTCTTTTAGGGATTTTATAGGGATTATACATTAACTTATTACGCTTTCAGGTCCTTCTGCAAGTGCAGAGGTTGACAACAAGAACAAAACTTCCACTCTGAAGCCTTCCAAGATAGAAACGTCTCCGGGATTGGACGGATCCAGAGTGTTTATGAACAATAAAGACGCCTTGACTGTTACTGTTGATCACCCTAAAGAATGGGAAATCATTCCATACAAAGGAGGGAAAGTGAAGTCTACGGCTGATCCGAGTAAGGACGTAATTACTGAACAGTATTTAATTTAATTTGTCGTTGCTTAATTAAGGTGTTTCGATACAGTTTTTTGTTTATTGTTGTCATAGTGATATCGATTTTACTAAAAACTACATTTTGACAAACTTTAACTCATAGTCAATCACTGGTGAAAAGTTTGTAGCGATCGAACAAGGACAAAAGCACTTTTAAGACGATTGAAAAACATCGGTATGGTCTCCGAAAAATTGTATCGAAACTTTTACACGTTAATTCATTCTCAGGGTAGGGCATTTACTTCTAGACGGTTCTAAAGGGGAGGGAGGAGGTAAATGCAAATATTGTTTTCCTTGCATTACATTACACTTTATCAGACCCCAATTCGATTCTTTTAACAAAAATAATAAAGCTGATGTTTTCTTATCTTTATTACATTAAAACTATTCTTTAAATTTTGATGTAATTCTAATTTGTCATTATTGTATAACAGTCAATGTTAAACTAATAAAACTAGGTTTAGCTCTTCTGTAGTTAGTTTGGTCAGCTTTTACTAGTTTGAATTAGACTGAGCATTTGGCCAGCCTGAAGATCAGGTCTAAATTTCTCTTCAGCCACCGAAAAGGGACGAAAAGAGCCAATGATATTGCATATACCAAGACCCATTATGTCTCTAGCATATACTAATTCCCCTTTTTTCTATCTCGTTAAGGATTGATTTATTTCTGCATTGGAAAGACAAGTGGCTTTTACGCGAATCCCTTTGAGAGAAAGAGCTTTTTGATTTGCTCCAATGGACAAGCAAAGGAAATGGAGTGTCCCGATACTATGCAATTTAACATTAAAGAAAAAATTTGCGATATACCGGATAAAACGCCTGAAGATAAAAAAATGGTAGGATAGAGAAAACAAGAACATCTGATTGTCACTCTTAGATCTTGAAAAGGAAAAGAACACGACAGATTTCACAGAGGAGACAATTGTAATTGAAAAAAACAAAACAAAACAAAACACCTCATTAATCTGCTGATGTTTAAAAGCTGTATTACCGAATGTTTTAAAATTTCAGATAATGCAATGCCGCAAGATCTACCAAAATCTGAGGCAGTGCGACTTTATTTTGAGAGCACGTTCATTACGTAAACTAGTCATATAGTGTTCATATGTCGGTGAGTAGTGAAATAAGTTTAAATGAGCTACCTTGTAAAATATTATTCAGTTTATCGTCAACGAAATAATTAGTACCGAAACACGTCTTTTCTAGAGCAAAGGTCAGCAAAGTAGAGCATAGATCAAAAAATTGTCATGACGGGCATTTGTAATTTTAAAGTTATTTAGATATGCGTAATCAGTCACTGACGGCAAATCACTTTAATAAAATAAATGATTATAAAATATGTCTTTTGAAAAAAAGGGAAAAGAGTCATGTAACCTCCAAAACACTCCAAAAAAAATACAATATAATATTCTTGATTAGCTCTTTATAAGTGCCACTATTTTAACCATCTTCGAGAGTCTAGTAAAACGAACTGTAAGAGAGTATAATCGGTACTAAAAGTAACATAAGACTCAGCCAAAAGAATTCAGGTACTGGGATCATCAGAAATTTCGGGTGACGACATACGGCCAGGTTACTTGCGTGAAAGGTTAGGTTGCCTGTGCAGACAAAACTGTGACAATTCTAAATAAACGATGATTTAATTATCTTTATGGACTAAAGTGCTCTTAAAATGGCGTTTATATTAAACCACTTGAGATATCAGTGACCTCTACAAAATACCCGCTCATTTTGCACTGTTGACCTGGTTTGGCCGAGTTAAAATTTTATTTCGTAGGTGTGTAGAGTGTTTTGTTTAGTTCATGTTAAGTGAAGTTTGCTCTCTTGAAATCAATGGAAACGGTGAGTTTTGAAATTTTCCGAGTAGAGTAGTTTTTAGACTAAACAGTCCTTTAAACGAAGATCTGTCTTTCAAGAGGTCCCCAGAAAATAACTGTAGAAAATTACCATTAACAAATTAGTCTGGGCTGGCTTACTAATTAGTTTAATTATCAGAATCACTAGATATGTACTTTTAAACTTGGTTAAGTTAAACCAGCAGATTTGTGCGACTAATGTGTTTAAATCTTTCACTTGTACTTAATGATGGTTGTTCTTTCTCTTTGCCGATAGTGTTTACAAACTTTTTAGAATCTCTTGACCACTGAGCTAATCAATTGACAACAGTTAAAGCATCAACAATGACAGACAGCCTCAGGCATTTAAAAATCCTTTTTAATTACTGTGAAGTAGGTAAATTAACTGTTGAGGCTATAGGCAACCGCTTATAATTCAGAGAAATGAATCATTCGCGTTAATTATTAAAGTCACTTATGACTCCCAACAAATGGGTTCTACTTGCCAAAATAACGCAGTCATAAGTAAAAGAGGAATGGCGAGATAAAGCGATTAACAGATATAATAAAACATGTATGCTAATACCAATTTGTTCTTCTAATTTTCCAGCGGTAATATCTGTGCCCTTCTTTGAGAAGTGATGATTTCGCCTTCAAGAGATGCATTAGTAATACTTTTTATTTACCTGTGTGCGCAACTGACCAAGGTTTGTTCAAATAAGCTGCGATGATATGCTTTAGTGTATTCTTGACCTCTCTCCTGATTAAGTCTGGTAACGGGAATAAAAAACGTTGATAACTTTTGCTTTTTTTTTTTAAGGGAGCCACAGACTTTCAGAACTTGCTCGCAATATGGCGCAAGTACAACGGCCAGTTACAGGATGCAAATGTAAGTACAAAAGGAGCTGTGAAGTGGGCCGGTAAAGTTAATCAACTGATTAATCAAGGGATTAAGGATTATTACTTGCTGGGGCTACATTATTGGTGATACAGTGATTACAGGACTAAAATAAAGCGTTCATTGATCACGCGAGGATTTCGAGTGCCGTTTCTGTCTTTCATTTTTACGTTTTATCGGTGTTACCCAGTCAATACCACTACTACCGACGCAATCATCATTATCATCATCATCATCATCAATGAAATCATTATCATCATCTGTATCATCATCATCACCATCATTTTAAAAAAATCATCATGAATCGTGTATTATCAGGATGAAAAATCATCATCATCTCATGAAATCAGATCATTTCTGAGAAAGGGGCGGATCCAATTTTTTGCTCGTGAGGTCTTGTCTTATACAAGGACCAAAAAACAATATAGATTTTTTTTCAGTTAAAATAAACAGCTACGGTAATTCTGTATACGAGATTCAATAGAAATAAAACAGATTTAACATCTATAAAAAAAATGGAAGGCAAACAATATCGAATTCAAATGTCTAAAGAAGACCTTTGCAGTGAAGCGAAGGCTTTCTTGTGTCAGCGTTGTGTTTACATGGGTCCAAACTTTTTCATCTGTTCCGAAAACTGACACTTGAATTAAGCTGAAATGTTGCTTGTTTGCATTATCTTAACCTGGAAAACAATTTTTCACGCAACCATGCAGGCAGCGAAAATGAAAGTGTCTCAGTAATGAGCTTGATAATGCACCTGCAGTGGGTCGGGAATGTCTTAGAACAGGGTTTGTTTTGCGTAATGTTCAGGTAGATGGAGTAGCTAGTGTGCAATGTCTCAAAAGTACTGCCTTGACATTATGTGTAAGGAGTTTATCACTCAGGCGTGTGTAAGAGTGGAATTGCACTGAAGCAGATCTCACTTGTGGATCTGTTTTACGTTATTGATGTTGGTGCTTCGGTACCCTGTCTTGAGTACGAGCAGGAGTAGTCACTGTGGTCTTTTACAGGGCCTTTAACTGCCTCATTCTTGCTTGTTTTTCTTGTGTAGAGCTCTTACTATGGCTATTATCAAGGTGGTGGAGCCTGCTCTTTCGACCCATTGACCACAGACTACAGTCACCTTGGATGGCTAAAGGTAGCGGCTGGAGATGGAGGGTTTCAAAAGTCCCTTGGCTGTGGTATGTGCGTAGAAATCAAAGGTCAAGGGATTCTAGCCGATCTTGCTCGCAGAGGACAGATTTCCAAAACACCAATCATAGGGCCGATATATGCAGTTGTAATTGACCGCTGTGGTAATTGTAATCAAGGTATGCAACTGACATAGTTATTAGAGAAAACGTCAGATTCAAGTTGAGAATTTTTGAAAATTGAAAATGAGCAGATAAAAACAGCTCAAAACAATTCTTATGGATAAAAGATTGAGTGAAACTACTAATACATGTGTTCAAATAATGAACAGTAAACGAAAAGTAAAGGGGAAACTTGGTCACGTAGTACAAATTCGCGTTTGCGATTAGACGTAAACGTGATGCCTAACCTCCCTATTGTCGCGCAAGACGTTACGGAACATTAGAGCATGCTTAAGAAATAATTAATTAAAAGAAATAAGCCTCTTTTGCTCCTTCCGCGGTCCTGTTAGAAACGCTTCCGCGATTCCCAATGTTTATGAACTCTAACAGATCCTTCTTTACAATCAAGCTATAATTATAAATGGGTAGTTTAACGAAAGAGAGGGGGGAAGAATTGGATTGTATGGCGAAGGAAATCCCTGAGCTCTCGTAACCGCCTTGCGTCGACAGCTGGTCGCTTGCAGGTTTACAATATATCATTTTGTGGAATAAAAGGATGTTTTTGTTATTTTTATTTCTGCCAAGATAATGCTTGAAAGATGCAGGATAAATTTACCTCAAACAAAAGACTGACAACTAATGTAAAGTTTGTCGTTTAGGAACATGACAATTTGTAATTTGAGCTGTAAAACATTTTTTGAACCCTGTCGAAACTTCCCCCAGTGACCAAGGGCACGAATATTAGTGAGCAATCCTCGAAATAATCTCCTCCCTCGAATAATCGCTACCTTTTGGTGCGAGAAAGAAATAATCGCCCTCGTCTATTATTCGAGAAAATACGGTATTCTAACAAATAGGCTGTCTGATTGCTTATTAACATCATACCCATCAAGCCCGTGGAGGGTTAAAGAAGTTTACTTCTTTCTCTAGTTCTCTGTAGTCCTGTAATCCCAATGTTACTTATACAGGGTTCGATTTATACGCGCCTGGTGCTGATGTCTGGAAGACACAGTTCAGGGCAATTGACTGTCCCAGAGCACCTGGAATCAATGGTAACATCAAGTTTAGATTCGTAGAAAGCAACCCATGGGCTCTGAAACTACAAACAAGAAATTCCCGGTAGGTACTATGTAACTTTCGTCATGATATTAAACTATTTGTAGGATCTACCTGATATATGATCTCCAACAAAACCAACACTGACTATCAGTTACATCAACGTCATTCTGGACTTGAGTTCAGATCGCCAATGTATAACTCGTTATTGGCTTATTCTGTCTTGAATTTCCTGCTTCCTATAGGGATTAGTTATTAGTTATTTCCAAGTAAAAAAAGTGACCAAAACCAATGTAAAACGAGTCAGGTATATAAAAAAAAGTCGCCTCGCTCACAATATCACTGTTTTTTCGTTTAAAACTAATCCAATCCTAGAGTGGTAACGGTTGGTCTCGAGATACTTCAAAATGGTAGGTGGATTTGTTTAAAAAGAACAGACGACAACTACTTTCTAATGGGATCACCGAACAGAGTCCAGTTCCCACTACGAGTTCGTCTTACAAGTGTTGGTGGTGAACAGGTGGAGTCAACCATTACAGAGCTCAAAAATGACAAAGACATTACGTCCTCTGTACAGTTCTCTGGTTTTATGAAGGGTAAGCCTTGTCATATTTGTTTTAGCTGCGAAGAATAAGTATATAGTTATTTGTTGAAGTAGCGGAAAAAATGGTATAAGTTCTCTGAATTCAAAAGGTTCCAAAAGAATTTCCTGCTTAGGGCTACTGCCAGCAAGTTGAAGTTCAGTTTTAGTCGCAATTTTACACCATATAAAGTTTTTCCTCCATTAATGGAATTACCCCCTATTATTATTATTATTATTATTATTAATTATTATTATTATTATTACAATTATTATTATTATTATTATTATTATTTATACGTTAAGAATTTTAAAACTGTCCACAAAGAACATGGCATCCGCTTATCATAGCAGTTGACATCTTTATATCTTCACTGACAGGAAGTGATCCGCGCACCATCAGGTGCCATGGCCAAGGACAAGTATTGGATTCTCAAAACATCCAGCAAACAAGTATGTCAGTCATTAGCTATAGGAAATAATATTTCTCCCTTACATGGTCCAGAGAAGGTGAATTGCGTAAGCGCGTGTGAAAATTGCCACTCGCGAGGAAGGCGATAGCTTAGTCACTTTCCACGCGGATGGCGATTTTTCGAGCGCGCCTGCGTAATTCGTTTGACTCAGGGTGTTTTGGAGTGACACGCGTCAACCGGAAGGGAAGCCCTATTTCTTTTGATATGACTTAGTACTACCAGATTTGAATTGCAAAGTGTTCTTACTCTTGTAGAGACGATTTGTCGTAAAATGTGGGCGAGACCACTTCTCAAGAATGCAAAAAGACCACTTCCGGTTGATGTGCTTCGCTCAAAAACGTCTTTGCTTAAGCTCACTAATATCCTTGAGCATGAAAAACTACTCGTAGTCTACTTACTCCTGGTAACTGTCTCTACAGGCTTTGGCAATGGGTAGAGAGAGCACTGCGCATGCGACTGACTGATGGATCTTTTTCGTACCCATCCTCATAGCCATCCTAATTGCGCAGTTCTGTGACTAGTAAAGCTGAGATTAGAAATAACGCATGAGCAGTGATTTTGTTTACACCAATACCTTTTTAGTGTTACTACTAAGCTTTGCACGCTTTCCGGACTCATCTCATTCTAGTGGAAGAATCATTCTGCAAGGGTAAACAAGATGGAACTTACAGCGATCCTGACCAATGTACTACATATTATCAATGCACAAGTGGCTATGCAGTGAGGAGACATTGTCCAACAGGACAAGTGTTTAATGATATTCTTAAGGCCTGTGACAGTCCAGCGGATTTTCCATGTCATCAAAGAACGGTTGTGAATACTCCCAGTCCCACCTTAGCGAGAGAAAAAGATAAGGGAGGTTCCTCTCAGAAAAGTGAGTTGATCAGTATTTTATTTGCCTTATTCTTATTTAATTTTTTTACGTATGACACAAAAATTTGTTGTTGTTCCTCTGATATCTCTTTACTCAATGGTTTAATCAACGAGGTTTGTTGACTGAGTTCTCAACATTCAGTGCACTTCTGATATCTGTCTTCACCCTTGACTCCGGAAAGCCATGTGAGGCAAGAGGGAGCGCAATGCACAGAAAGTGGCAGAATTTAAGTCTTCGCTCCTCAGTGATACTCTTATTTAATTCTATTGTTTCGTCTTTTTTGCACAGTCTATATTTGCAATCTCAATACTGCTGTTACTTGGATAAATGTAGACATAGTTAAGTGGCTTGGGCAAGCAAATACAATGTCATTATTTCATATTTACTTTGATTAGTTTTTCCAAATCATTGATAAAATCAACGATTAGGATGGAATAGGAACAAGAAACTAAAGTAATGAGTAAAATATACGTCAAAGACGTGATTAAATCCAAACTCAAAAGAACAGACAAATGAATAATTTTATAACATGTTCGTTCCGTTTTTTCAGATTTTCCTCTATGCCTTACTATACATGGGCCGGTTCCTGAAAGGCCCATTAGCGTTAATCCAGGACTGAAATTTTGTTCCGTTTTTGTATTTTACATTCCTATGCATTGCTAAGGGCAACATTTTGTGTTATCATTACTGTATCTCGTGGTAAAGGCTCAACTCAACAGTATTTTGTAACCTCGAGTTGCATGTTCTTAAACGAGAAAACCGTGCTTGAAGTTTGGCTTAATCCTGGGTTTGAGGAAACGGGTCATGATGTTGAAGTTTACATAACACAAGGAGCAACTTAATTGGCGGGCAGGACTCTTTTGAGCCCTTACAAAGAGCTATTTAATATTTCAAACGGGCACACTAAAATGATATTGAGATGGTATTGCAAACGTTTTATTTTTTGTTGGCAGTGAATGATTCCTTTTGCGATGGCAAATTTGATGGTTTTTACCAGGATCCGAACGAATGCCAAGCATTTTACCAATGCTTGAAAGGAAAGGCTTCCAAGCGGTACTGTCTTAAAGGAATGGTGTTTAATCCTACTCTGAAGACATGTGACACTCCAGATAACTTTCCCTGCCGTGTCATAGAAGGCTCTGAGCCTTCAGCGTTAGAAACTAAGAGGCCAGAGGTGATCCCCGATCCCCTTCAAGGAGAGCAAAGCACTCCGGGAAACGCAATTGGGAGCTCAACTTCAGGTATTGACAGGGCCTCGCTAGGAGCCCTAACCCCGGAGCGTGTAACTCCAAGACTAAGCCTATGCAACAGCATTTTTACATTTCAAGTTATTTTTAACATCATTTTTGAGCACTTTTTCCCGCGAAAATGGAAGCACCGTTCCGTTTGCGACCATGTGTGCGCATCTATAGTGCGATAAGTACAAGAAAAAGAAGTAAATGCAAGCAAAACATAAAATACTTTTTCCTGGTCTTAGTGTTTTGGTGACTGATTTTTAAGACTTATTTGATATTCAAAATTCGAGGGAAAATCGATCTGAAAATAGGCAGAACGCCCGTTGCATGGGTACAAGGGAGCCGCTCACACCGGCCGCGGGTTTTGCGCTCCTGGCCTTGTTCGTTTATCCCACTTTTTCGTTGACATAGGGACCATTAATAAGCAGAGACTTCTTCTAGCACCTAAGGGGTAAATCGTTATAAGTCCGAGTGAAGGTAAAGCCCCTTGATGATGTTGACGTTGAGTAATGACGTGGTTGGCAACACGAATTTTGCTAATA